CCCATCCACAGGGAGGGCTTGCAGATTAACCTATCCAAGTCAGTCATGGTGGTACCAGGACTTTGCTCACCTTTGCCACACTCTGGAGATGGCTGGCCCTTTCCTATTCAGTTGCCTGACACCTGGCTTACTCCCATCTCTGACCAAGTGGTATTTAACTCCTAGCAGCAAGAACAGGAGATGGAAATCTCCGTCCACTTCCACCCACCCCTCCTCAAGACACACATCATCTGCGGAGCTATACTGCCTACATGAAACCAGTGGTGAAAGCATCCACCATCCTGGCAACTAGAGGCAGTGAAGAAATGCAGGACAAGGCGGTGATACCCAGAGGAGTGATGTCAGCATCACTCTCCTCGGGCTGGGTAATATCATGTGGAGGTTACCTCATTGTTGGGAGAAATTTCCTGGTGTTGATTGGGTAGTGGAGGGATGGATGTGAAACGGGTAACGGATAAGAAGAGAGCAAGCCATAAGGCTGCTCTAGTGATCTGAAACCCATCCCTGGCAGTAGCACACGTGGGTGCCAGGACATGGTTCGGTGTCACTGAGTCATTCAGCTTTCAGCAATTCAATTGAGGGAAAGCAGGTCCTTGCTGAAGACCATTCCTGGCAGTGCCAGGCCAGTAGCTGTGATATTCCTGGGATGGCTTCCAGCTGCACAGAGGTGGGGGAGATATGTTTGTTGACGAGATCAGAATGAATGAGGGAGTGAGCCCCTGATTCACCTGGGAGGATGTGGGTCTTCACAAGGGTATGTGCTGAAGCCAGGCCCTGGGATGGGGCTTTGAGCAACCTGGTCTAGTGCAAGGTGTCCCTGCCCATGGCAGGGAATTGGAACTAGATGGACTTTAAGGTCCCTTTTAACCCAAACTATTCTATGATTCTATGAAGACAGAGCTGAGAAGGTGGCTAGTAGCGACTGTCTTCTGGCAATGGAGAGGGTTTCCTCCGCTGGAGGACTGGTCACTGCTCACCTTGATGACTCCAACACACAGGACGTAGGGTGAGGGCGGGAGAGGGAACAAGGCACAAGCACAGAGTGGGGCAGGTCATACCCAACATGAGTGTCCCATCAACGTGTTCCACGTGTTCAGGCTGGGGCATCCACAGACCTTCCCATGCATGTCCTGACACATCCCCCATGCTGCCACAGGCTATCTTCTCACTGTTCCCTGTAACATTGTCCTGCCTCATGTTCATGATTGTTGCCCTCTGCCACCATCTTCCCTTCCCCACTTGTGCCCCGTAACACCTTCTGCCTCCCTGAATCTCTGTCTCACCCCAGCAGCTGGCTTGTGGGCTTATGGAGGGTGTAGGTCACTCCCAGGACTGACCTTTCTCCCTTCAGGCAGCAGCCAGGTCTGGCTGTGCTCAGCCTGTGGAGGAAGGTGCAGGAGGAAGGGCATTTAGGAGTGAGAGGTGGGTTCCTCCCTCAGCATGGATAAGGTCCTTGTGCCCATGGGTACCACCAGCAGCCACGGCTTCTCTGTGTTCAGCCCCTGCAACAAGCTGGCCCTGGCCTCATGAAACAATGGATGAGAGACCCCTGGTTCCTTATTTATTTGTCAGGTTTGTGTCTGGGAGTCAGGGTCAGGAAGCACAGACCACAGAAAAGGGAGAACCTGCCTGCAGCATGGCCTGCAGGAATATATTTTCCTCCCTTTTTTGTTTTGTAATCACCCCAAGTTCACCTTCAGCTGGATCAGCAGCTCAAGGAGCCCCAAGGTGATGGGCTGGCAACAGTCTTTTACCTCCATTCTCTACACAGGGCATGGGAAACAAAGCCCAAGAGCTGATGGTGTTCTCATCATTGCTCCAGGCCATGGAGCATCATGTCGAAGAGTGGATGTGCTCCGCACAGGTCTCCCACGGCATGTATTGGTCCTCATCTGTGTCACAGCAGTGGACAGGTCTGGGTCCAATAGCACTGTGTCACGGTGGGACTGTGTGGAAGCCCTTCTGGCCGAGCACAGGACAAGAGTACGAGCGCCTGGTGCAGGGGCTGGGATGAGCCATTTTCAACATCCAAGTGTGGCTTGTAACATACGCACCAAGTGCACGGGGCCAGCAATCTCCTGTGCGCTGGCTCCATCTCTCTCCAGCGCTGCTGATGACCTCCCACCCTCCTTAGCACAAACCCTGAGGAAGGTTGTGAGCAGACACTGGCGATTTGAGCCGAGACCAGGCGAGCTCGCGGTGGCGTTTTCCCTCTGCCTCGGGTGGCTCCGCAGCCTCTGCGTCGCTGCAGCAACCTCAGATGTATATTTGTAATGATCTTTGGTCTTTGTATGTTGGTGCGTGTGTATTTACATATGAGTGTGTGTAGGTGTGTGTGGGTGCGTGCGTGTAGCCAAGGGATCTATTTACTGTCAATGTGAGTGTACAGGGGGCAGATCCCAGAGGGGGGACAGGGCTGGGCGGGGGCTTTTTTATTTTTGCTGTTTAATTGTTCAGTTATTTTGGGTTTCAGGTTTGGATGGGGGTGTTTTTTTTTGTGAGGAGGGTGGGTTTGGGTCCGTTTCGGATTGATTGACAAGGTGAGGGCCTTGATTAGGACCAAATTTTCGTGCCTGTTGCTCTGGTGACCTATTTAGAAATCAAAAGTTTACCGTATGGTGGCCCATCCTTGTCACTCTATACATAGGAATATACATGACATATTATAAATATATATATATTATACATACCGTATGGAGCGAGGTCATTAATCTCACTCCTCCCTCTCTGGCTTTGGATGGACACCTCTTCAATATGCTGTAACGTAGCTTTGACCCAGTGCTGGGAACGACTGGAAAGTGCCAGCACCCTTCAAAAACTGGCAATGACACCAATAAAGGAATGAGCATCATTGCAAAGGGTGTCTGCAGCCTCCTTCATCCACAGCTCCAGCTGTCGGGAACGCGCCAGCACTACAGCACTGCAGCTGATGCATTAATTGAAGCACAGCTCCATGTCATGTAGCCTGCTTCGGGGGGATCTCATGTGCTGTGTGTGTTGAGAGACAAGGATTTGGGATTAGAGCTCCTTCTCTGGCACAAATCGGGGCAGCAGTGCCCACCTTCCTGGATTTCTCTGTATATTTCTAGTGGAAGGTGTCCCTGTCCATGGCAGGAGGGTTGGAACTAGAAGATCTTTAAGGTCCCTTCTAACTCAAACCTAATTCTATGATTTCTCCTGTTCTGTGTAAGATGAAGTGTTTGTACTGAAACTGTAATTTGCAAGAAGCTTTGATAAGACAAGGTCTAAGGAGCAAAAGCTGGTTTTGCTGGGTATGAGTGCTTGCTTTCTTTCTTTCTGAAAGTAAATTTATTAGCCCCAAGAGCACAGAGAGGTCCATGTGAAGTTGGTGAGCTGATTTTGAGGCAATTTCATTCCACATGCTCACTTATTTCATAGAACCATGGAATGGTTTGGGTTGGAAGGGACCTTCAAGAAAATCTAGTTCCATTATGCTATGATTCTGTGATGATTCTATGGTAAGGAAGGGAGAAAGTTGGGTTTTGTCACATTCAGTTTATCTCTCCACTGCCACCCAGGGCGGCCTGCATGCAGATCAGAAGAGCAAGGTCCCTAGGTAACTCAGAGAGAGAATAAAAGGAGGAGAATGACAAATCAGAAGCATCACCATGCTGTCAGGAGCTCTACTTATTCTGAAGGAGCTCAGAAATTGTGCCTGAAAGGTGCAGAGAAGGGCAAAGGATTTTTCCACACCGCATGTAACTGACAAAAGCATTCTGAAATGTCAGCTTTGGCAAGACACATGGCATGTCTGAGGGGACAAGAAGGTGACTTGAAGCAGGTAAAAATGCTCCC